AGCGTGACATTATCGTGCTCAGCAAAAATATAACAGTGTTTGGGGGTTTTTAAAGCATGAAGCTTGGTGAGTATCTTTAGCCTTTGAATAGAATTTTGTGGGCTACATGTAGTTTTAAAACTTTCCTTACGGTCTCCTGATTCACGTGATACTCATATTTAGAAATATTCCAAAAGGCAAGAAACGAGTTTTGGGAGCCAGTGGTGGGTAATTGGATTTGTTTTTGTTTTTTCTCTCGTGTAGAAAAAGCCTTTAGAGTCATTTGTTGAACTGGATTTTCTTTTCTTCTAAGACGTTGAAAGAATAGCAATAAATACGCCGTTATCAAAATATACTAGATCTATAATAGATAGATAGCATTTATTTAGCACAAATCCCCGCTCAACAATAAGCTCTATGCGTTTCACAATCTATACTATTACCCCCAGCAGACCTGAGAGCGTTCTGAAACAAACACAACTTCCTGGGAATCGCACAGTGCAAGCAGCCATTTATAGGCGCTAAAACACTAACATGCTGACAAGATCTTTCGCTGTGTATGACCGGGTACCCATTTCCACCTGGGTGAAGTGAGGAAACTTCGTGTAAAGTGCCTTCCCAAAGACATAACGTTGGGCCTGCGGCTGGAACCCCCGACCCCGCAACCTCATGATGACGAGTCCGGTAGCCTAACCGCTAGGCCACCGACGTCATCTACACAAAGTGCACATTGTAGATACGTTTCTTCTCATCTTAATTATAATAGGTACTGATGTATTACGCTGGAAGGCTATCTGGGAGGGGCTAATAGCTACCATTTTAGCACAAATTGATCACATTTTCCAAAATCAAACGAATTTAATTTTCTTCATCATAGTTTGATACGTTTGCTGAAAACACCCAATCAAAAGGCTGCAACGCATTATGGGGTCAAATCGCTGTGGGAGGTTTTTTTCCTACTTTTTTTTGTTAAGAGAGTTTTGTTTTGTTTCAGCTCACAACAGCATAAGGTCATATCAGCGCTAAGAGAGTTTTACTGCACTCACAAATGCATAAGGTCATATTATTATGAGAGTGCAGATCTTTGGCTTACGATTGGAATGCCATACGCCCTAAAGGACTTCCAGGACAAATCTGATTAAGCAATTTAAAACAGAGGCCAATTATTAAGAGAGAGAGAAAGAGAGAGAGAGAGAGAGAGAGAGAGAGAGAGAGAGAGAGAGGGGGAGAGAGAGAGAGAGAGAGAGAGAGAGAGAGAGAGAGAGAGAGAGAGAGAGAGAGAGAGAGAGAGAGAGAGAGAGAGAAAGTGTGGTGTGCACTGGCAATGTCATTGACGGGCCCGACCCCACCTAATCCGGTCTGAGTCCGATCATGCAGATTGAGTTGAGTCCATATCAAATAATTTAATTAGATTACTTGGCGTCCACTAGTAAGTCCATCCTAAGTATGCTCCCCAGCCTGCATCAGTCAGTGACGGAAGCTCAAAGCAGACACACACGTTTTTGATTGGACTAAAGAAACCAAACTACGGTAGGAATTAATTCTTTTAAAAATAATGTTATTATTTAGATATTAAGTGTTTTATGCCGCCGCCCCCCCCCCCCGACTCAATAGACGCTCATTAAATGAATTTAGCTAAGCTGGTATCGTGCTGACCTACGGAGCGGATGGCCCTTGTTCGAATCCCAAACTAGGCTTGGTTTTGCTGAGTTTTTAAAGCTCTAAACCCGTTCATTTGGCTCGTTCCTTTCTTGGGCCTATCGGAGATAAAAGTTAAATATATTTTGGAGGTCCCTCTTGGACTTCAATTCTCTAAGAGTGTTGATATGGTTGTTAATTAATCCTATCCCTACGCCCTGGGGTTATTTTGTACCCCCAGGGTTGTATTCTTCACATTTTAGAATACTTCTAATACGAAGATCTCTTTGAAATTTTCACTATTTCTCAAAAAATAACTTTGACAGACTGCTATGTAAAGCGTACGGATCGGATTAACGAGTAAATTTCCTCGTTGGAAAGTGGGGGCACAGAGTTCCCCACGTCGTATGGATACGATATTAAAACACGACGTACGGATAGGGTTAAACTCATACACTTTATTTTTACCGATACAATGGCGTCACTCTGTTTTTCTGGACAAGGCAGAATTATCAGACATTCTAGACAATTAATTAATTTTAATTGTTAGAATACCGTAATATAGAAATAGTAGATTCCGCTTAAACTTAAACCGAAGTCTGCAGGACTCACGAGTTTTCTTCGGTTTACTCAGGCTTTCGGTTTAGATAGGGTTGCTCAAATAGAAGAAAAAGCGGCTATTTTGTTTTCATACAGAATATATGTACTGCTGTTTTCAGATTAAACATGCTCGGTTTAAGCGGGCTTCCCTGTATCTTAAATTGTTTCGATAGAATCGTGTATGCCTATATATTATTATGTATAGATATTGAAACAGATCTAATTATTCTCTATTATTTTTTCAATGATCGGAAAAAAAACCCATATTCCTAAACGTATTGTTTATTGACAAAATAGAATCTAGCTCAGATGTACACTACCATTCTTGGCTGAAGGCCACATCGGTGGTTTTATGCTCCAACTGTGTAACTGAAATAACGAGATACAGTCAAACTAGGATATAACAGGACAGACGGGACCGTCAATCCCCCCCCCCCCCCGTTTTTTTTTGGGGTAGCCTATATTTTGTAAATTTCCCCAGTCTCGAATTTTCTAATGGGGATGAAATTGAATAACAGTAGTTATTATTATTTTTTTTTTTTTTTACAGTAAATACATTTTCCTGTCCCTCGGGATTTTCACTCACATCTTCAATATTCAACTTCGAAGAGCCTTTAGACCATTGTAGTGATAGCCAACTGGGGCGATATCTTCCACTACAGTAATATGTGAGGCATTTGGGTGAAACCAAGCGCTCGTCAAAAGAATTAAATCGAAGAAACTGTCAATTTTATGTCCGTTTGGAAACTTTCGAATTTTTGTTCTTTAACTCAAGTTAAGGTCCTTTTAAAAATACATTTCTGTGTTGATTTTTCTGCCAAGTGTTGATTTAAGGCACAAAAATGAAAATTTGCAGTTTGTAACAAGGACTCTCATGCTTTGGAAGTCCCGGCCATTTTCTGTCTAATTTTACCTCTGAAACGAACCGACCCCCACCTCCTTCAATCGCATATATCTCGACTTCTGTTCTTGATATAACCGGGTTTTTTTTCATCGAAAGCAAGGCAAATGAACAAGCTTTAAAAAGGATAAAAATAACTCTAAATTTTAATGTCCAAAAATTGACGAGCGCCTAAATCTACCACGCAGTGACACAAGAGTTGGGCGATTTGCACATTTTGACAGGCATTGGCGATCGCAAGAGAAGTGACAGGCTCCAGTTAATGCCCCTCATGGAAACAAAAGTGGATGGGAGGGTTGGGGAGGGGGGGGGGACGTTATGAACAGTTTAGCCTCTTAAAGGTATAGACAGCAAAAGTGGGCACTGACTATAAAAAGCGTGACAAACAGTGTTTGGAAAAACTATTAGGCGAAGGCCTACACCCCAGACAGCGCAGGTGTCAGATGGGAAGTCACGTTTTACAAGACACACGCCACTTCACACAGCACTCATTAGTCTCAACAATAACAACAACGACAAAAGAAAGACAATAAAATGTAACTGTGCAGGAAATTCTACGACGCAAGCTTACTTTAGTGCTATTTAGCATAAAAACCTCATTTTTTGACTTTCGGGAGGTTTTGCCAAAACCTTTCAAGGTTGTTAGAAGAAATGTTACCCTTGAGCCCACAATTATAACGATTAAATGTTCTTTCGAATCTCCCTTTCGTTTTGTGCAAAATCTTCCCTTTTCGAGATTGGAGTTCAGTGCTCTTAGAGTGATTCACGTCACAGATCGAAAAAAATTGAGTACTGAAGATCGTAGCCTAGCACTCAAATCAGCTTACGAGATGTGGAGTCACGTTTACCAAGCCACATGTTCTTTTACTTTTACGCAAGACTTACTTGTCTCAACAACAAAAAAAGTAAACTGTGTTAGTGAAGAAGGTGTTCTACGTTAATGTTATGCTCTGTTTTTCTCTCCATCCCCCCCCCCCACCCCTACCCCCCGCCCGTCATTAATGGCATTGGGAGAATGAGGTATTTTAATGGGGACCCCCCCTCCCAATCCCCACAATTAGGGTTGTACACACACGCGAAAAAAAATGGGGTGGGGGGGGGGGGAGACTCACATATTTATAGTGCTTTTTTAGGTAAAAGTCTACTTGAGCCTTTCACTCGAAGCAACTAATGCGCAAAACAAGGGTCTCTAGTCTATAAAAAGCCACTTGCGATGTCGTTCTTAGATTTTAGTAGTGGTTTTACGGCGCTCACAACTGCATAAGGCCATATGAGCGCCAAAAGATTAGAGGTGTTACAAGAGAGTAAAAAACATAAAAAAGAAGAAAGGGAAATAAGGACGATAGATGTTTGAAAGGAAAGGAGAAACAAATCAAACCAGAACACCCACCAACCACCCACGTTCATGAAAAAAGCTTTTAACTTATTTTAGAAATAGGGTTCGGGAAGAATGTTGCCCTTTCTGATAGGTTTACGTAGAAGTTTTGAAAGTTTTGAATTTGTTGTGACCATGTATTAGTCACCGAAGTTTTGTTTTGTTTGAGGAAAGCGTAGCACATGAACGAAATACTTGAAAATGTGATTTAATGCACGGACAAAGACAGACAGGCAGAAATAACTGAGGGAAAGAACAGAAGCAGGACCTACTAGATCTAGTGGTCACCTCATTTTTCGGAGGAAAAATGATTTTGCAGTATTCTAATATTGTTTATTAATTTTATAGTGTTCAAATGTTTGTTTTTAGTTTAGTTGAGTAAGGATTTTACGACGCTAGCAACTACATAAGGTCATAAAAATGAATGTCTCTTTCATTTTAAAAAAAAAGTTATTAATCTTACAGTAGTTTAATTATGCCTTCCTTTTTGCTGATCGTTTCTTCTAGATGGCAACACTGTTTGAAGAAACCACCAACAGGAGCACAGACAGAACAAGCCATGCAGCTCTGGGCTGGACACTGGCGACTTTTTCTGACATAGGAGGAGAACTTTACAGACACACACACACACCCAACTATTCCTTCAACAGAGGGCGCAATATCTGCGACAATCTGACAGATGCCGTTGACCTAGGGGTCAAAATCACGTGCACCCTTGACCTTTATCTCCCCCCATTTCTGCTGGCCGTGGGCGTGGTCTGCAACCTGTTGGTGATTCTCGTCATGTGCAGTAAGCACTTCCGGAAGATGTCGACGTCATTCTACATGGCGACCAACGCGTTCACTGATGGACTCAGCCTGCTGGTCGCTCTGTCCGGACACTTTCTGTTCGTGAATTTCCCGGAGATATTCTCCAGCGTGAGACATGCACACCATATGTGCGCATTTTTCAACATTCTCGGATGGGGAAGCAGTGATCTGGGAATAATGCTGACGGTTGCCATGACAACGGAGCGCGCCATAGCTGTACGGTTCCCCCTGCAGGCGTATAAATTGTGCACCCCGAGAAGGGCGAGGTTCGTTGTGGTTGGGCTGGTCGTATTTGAGCTGGTCAAGCTCTCCCACTTTATGGTCAGCTCCGAGGTGGTCGGGGCAGAAGTGACCAGCCATCTGTGTGACGTAGACAGGGACGACCCATCGTTCGTTCTGTACGCCGTGGACATCTGGCCGTGGATCCACGCCGCCATCTTGGCTGCGTCTTACAGCCTCGTTATCGTCGGCAACGTCATCATCGTCATCAACATAAGGAAGTCCGGTAAAGAGTGCGTTGCGGACGGGTCGGGACGCAAGAACACGCGAAAAGATTCCTCCAGTTCCTCCAAAAACCGACAGCTGTCGTTAATGCTGGTCGTCGACTCGTGTTTCCTAGTCGTCTGCACTTTCCCATTCGCCGTTATCGTCATCCTCATCTCCAAATTCAACCGCCTGCCGCCGTCACAAGGCGGGAAAAACCTCGCGTACTCCGTCAGCTTCTACCTACTCTACGTGAACCGATGCTTGAACTTTTTCCTCTACTGCGTCACTGGATCACGCTTCCGCACCGCCCTGCGCGGTATTTTCACCCACGACGTGCCCACGTCGTATGTCCCATCCACGGATAAGACCAACTCTCGAGACAAGCTCAAGACCGTATCGAAGCTCCGGGTGACGAGAAACTCTCTGGCTACACGCACGGGGCAGCAAGGACAACGACAACACACTTCCAGCACGACCACATCGCCTGTTTTGGAGTCATTGTCATTTCCAGTCTCATCCGACACCACTACTAACACTATCACTTCTGTAAACAATCGCGTAAATCCACGAACTAATAATAACGAAAGGGAGAGCTGTATCTTGCCTTCTGCCCGCGTTCGAAGATATCGGTATGCTGAATGCTTTCATTCACTGGACGATAGAACTGACCATGGGTTTTGTAGGACTGCTGTTTCTACAATCTCGGCGGGGCTGATGATACAGCATGCTGCAGGACAAGAACAGGGGGAAACGATTTGTGATGTTCACGAAGATACATCTACGACAAAACACGTCAATTGATTTGAGGGATCGAATCCTCAACGACCGATGCCTCCAAATCATCGTCTGTGGACATGACAGAAAACAAAACTGTATTAGCTCTTGTGCAGTGCTTTTCATGATGGGATGGCGGGATGTAATGTTGGGTGGAATGTGAAACCGGCTGTTCTCCATGGGGTTTTATGCATCCCCGCATAATTTGATAATTCTTAGCTTAATTTTTGATTATTTTCCTTTATCATTCTTTGTTAAAATTAACAGAATCGCATAATTTCCCTTGGGGGGTGGGGGAGGGGGGTGGCTAGTGTGCATAATTTCAGAATTTTTGTGTGTGCATAAAACCGCGGAGACAGCAGGTATCAACAAAATAGCATATCATAATAATAAAGTGAAACATACACAGAAATGCTTGTCGTTTGCAAGAAGTGGGTATAATCATCATTATCACTATTGCCTTTCTCACACTGGATCAGGATATAAGCCACGAACAAACACTCTCCACCTTTCTGTATCCTGGGCTAGTCGCTTGATGTCACTCTACGTCCTCCCACTTTTCTGTACATCTGTGACTCTTCTCCAAATTCCCCGTGATCTTTTACCCTGTGGGTTCCAATCTAACACTTTCCTTGTTATGCAGCTGGAGTGGGTACAATGCGGCAAAGTTATTACGTGACTGCTGCTGTTGATTTTCGGTTCCATAGTTGTCGTTGTTGCTGTTGTTACTGTTGTTGTATGTGTGTGTGTGTGGGGGGGGGGGGGGGCTTTCCTTCCGAACTGTTTGGAGCCCCAAAGAGCGTGCTCTTCGTCAGGGCCACCGCCTTTCTCGGGTAGCGGGTGAAGTAGGCCAGCCTCCCTGAATCTTCCCCAAAGAGATGCCACCGCCGGATTATGTTGTTATTGCTGCTGTTGCAGTTGATGTTGTTTTTATTTATTTTTGGGATGTCAGTGTTATTGTGGTTGATTTTTTTCCCATTTTCTTCCACCTCGGAGTAACTCGGGTAGTTATGATGTTGTTTAGGGGCGAGAGATGGGGGGATGGAGTGGTGGAATGTAGGGGCCAGGTGTCACCAAAACAACTCACTTTATCATGTCATAATACAGAGATTGGGTTTTGTTTGTTTTAGTAGAGGTTTTACGGCACTCGCAACTGCATAAGGTCATAGGAGCGCTAACGGGTGGATGTCAACAGAGAAGTCCTTACAAGGAATCAGGCTTACTCTGCCCATCTCTCAAGCTTCAACAGCACAAAGTCTGCTTCGACTATCAAGGCACCCCAGAAAGAGCGGGTCACAAGAGCGTGACAAACATGAAAAAGAAGTAAAGAAACAATGACGAGAGTAAGGATTAGGAAAGAAAAAGCAACAATTCCCTGTTGCAGTTCAGGCACAGTTATGAGCATGACACGTTGATGAATCAGCCCATTTACAAGTACAATTCTACTGTGCATAAGAACATGGTATTGGTATTGGTATGGATTTAACGCCCCTATCAACACTATTAGGTTATTTAAGGGGAGGGACCTCCTAGTTTAACGTCCGTCTCCAATAGGACCGAGCCAAGTGGGAAGTTCGTGTAAAGTGCCTTTCCCAAGGACACAACGTCGGGCCGAGCTGAGGCTCGAACCC